ATGGGTACAAATATAGATACATACTTCCGCTCCTTCCTCTCCTTCTTCTTCTTCTTCGTCTTCTTCTTCTTCTTCTTCTTCTTCGTCGTCGTCGTCGTCGTCGTCGTCGTCGTCGTCGTCTTCTTCTTCTTCTTCTTCTTCTTCTTCGTCTTCTTCTTCTTCTTCTTCTTCTTCTTTTTATCCTTCTTCTTCTCATTTTTCTCTTCATTCTTCTTACTTTTTTCTTTCTTTCATTCCTCTTCTCCTTTTTTCTTCCCCCTCTTTTACGCTTTTAAATACGATAAAATAATTCAAAAGTAACTTCAGGGGACGAATAATTAAACAGGAATTTAAGACAATGGTAATTTGCCTGCGGTCTTAATCATGGAGGCGAGAGATAAGAACACATTAGAATGAATTTCATGCCTGCAACTTAAGCCATACTGCTTGATTGGATTTTGTGATTGGATCGAATGGCGTTGAAGGCAATTATGCATTTGCAATTGTGCTTCTTAGTGGCTTTCGGGTTCTGCTTTGTATGCTCGTATTTTTTTTTTTTTTTTTTTTTCTTTTTTTTTTTGACTGTTTTATTCTGTTTCCGTGTCTTTCGATCTGTTTTTTTTTCTGTTTGTCTCGGTGTGTTTGTCTGTCTGTCTGTCTGTCTGTCTGTCTGTCTGTCTCTCTCTCTCTCTCTCTCTCTCTCTCTCTCTCTCTCTCTCTCTCTCTCTCTCTCTCTCTCCTTCTCTCCTCTCCTTCTCTCTCTCCTTCTCTCTCTCCTTCTCTCTCTCTCCCTCCTCCCCCCCCCTCTCTCTCTCTCTCTCTCTCTCTCTCTCTCTCTCTCTCTCTCTCTCTCTCTCTCTCTCTCTCTCTCTCTCTCTCTCTCTCTCGGTCTTAATTAGCTTTCTCGATTCGCTTTCCGTAATATCGGCCTTTGTAACAGGAATTATCTTTTTTTTTCTTTTTTTTTTTCCTTTTTTTTCTTATCTGAATCTCGATATTGGACGAAATATTACCTTAGTGGTTCGCTTGCTGGAGTGAGTTGGGATATTCTTTGAATTTATTTGGGTTTTTCGAAGAGGAAGAAGATTGAGGAGGAGGAGGAGGAGAAGGAAAATGAGAAAGATAGTGGAGTGGATAGGGAGGAGGAGGAGGAGGAGGAGGAGGAGGAGGAGGAGGAGGAGGAGGAGGAGGAGGAGGAGGAGGAGGAAAAGGAAAATGAGAAAGATAGTGGAGTGGATAGGGAGGAGGAGGAGGAGGAGGAGGAAAAGGAAATTGAGAAAGATAGTGGAGTGGATAGGGAGGAGGAGGAGGAGGAGGAGGTGGAGGAAGAAGAAGAAGAAGAAAAAGAAGAAGAAGAAGAAGAAGAAAAAGAAGAGGAGGAGGAGGAAGAGGAGAAGGAGTAGGAAGAGGAGGAGGAGGAGGAGAAGGAAAATGAGAAAGATAGTTGATTTGGATAGGTAATAGAAGAAGGAGGAGGAGGAGGAGGAGAAGAAGAAGAAGAAGTAGAAGAGAAAGATAGTGGGGTGGATAGGGAGGAGGAGAAGGAGGAGAAGGAAAATGAGAAAGATAGTGGAGTGGATAGGGACGAGGAGAAGGAGGAGAAGGAAAAGGAAAATGAGAAAGATAGTAGAGTGGATAGGGAGGAGGAGGAGGAGGAGGAGGAAAAGGAAATTGAGAAAGATAGTGGGGTGGATAGGGAGGAGGAGGAGGAGGAGGAGGAGGAGGAGGAGGAAGAAGAAGAAGAAGATGAAGAAAAAGAAGAAGAAGAAAAAGAAGAGGAGGAGGAGGAGGAGGAGAAAGAAAAGGAGGAGGAGGAAGAGGAGAAGGAGTAGGAAGAGGAGGAGGAGGAGAAGGAAAATGAGAAAGATAGTTGATTTGGATAGGTAATAGAAGGAGGAGGAGGAGGAGGAGAAGAAGAAGAAGAAGAAGAAGAAAAAGAAGAAGAAGAAGAAAAAGAAGAGGAGGAGGAGGAGAGGAGGAGGAGGAGGAAGGAGGAGGAGGAGAAAGAAATGAAGAACAGATGAAGAAGATAGGATAGGAGGGAATGAAAGTGGAGGAGGAGAAGAAAGAGGTGAAGATGGAATGGCTGAGAAAGAGAAGAAGGGAGAAGAAAAGGGAAGAAGAGCAGGAGGTGGGATGGAAAAAAAGAGTAAATGAAGTGGGGGGAAAAAAGAATAGGAGGAGAAGGGCAAGGAACAAAAGAGGAAGAGGGATTATGGAGAAGGGAAGGGGATAGATGGAGGAGGAGACGAAGAAGGAAAAGGATGAGGAAATGGATTAGAAAAAAAAATGAACAAAGAAGATAAATACAAAAAAAATGGCAATGACAAGAGTAAGAAGAAGGAAGGAGATGAGAAAAAATAACAGAGAAAAGGAGGGAGATGAGAAAAAAAATAACAGAAAAAAGAAAGGAGATGAGAAAAAATAACAGAAAAAAGAAAGCAGATGAGAAAAAAATATCAGAAAAAAAAGAAGAAAGAGAAAATAAAATGTTCAAAAAAACGGAAGAAAAACAAAACAT